GGTTGAAACTGCGGTCCTGGGGTGGTACCTGGCTGGGGAACACACTGGCAAAATTTGAGCTTCAAATTGCGCGGTTAGCGAATTGAAATACCCGGACAGACGAACACGCACACACACACAAACACACATACACAAAAACATACACACACACAAAAACATACACACACACACACACACACACACTGACAAGGTCGTTCCAATATGCGTTTTTGCTCCCTGTTGCAGCGCTCTAGCGCTGCACGGCAAAAAAGCATAAAAAGCAATTTATACAGTGAACAAAGTAACAAGGGGAACAGCCCGAAAAAATGATGAAAAAAGAAACATAAAAATATTTTCAACAAACTTACACATTGTTAAAAAGGAAATAAGTAAGCGAATAAATTGACAACGAATAAAAAATATGGAAACAAAACTTACCACTCAAAATTATGTAAGAGAGTTCCCTTGTGGTTGATTTAACGACTGGTGTATGATTATGACGAATGAATACGATCACAGTAAAGAATGTTATCAATATACCTAGAGACGCAAACAACAAAGCAAGAATGATACCCGTAGATGACCAGTCCGGCCCTTCATGTGGCAACGGGTAGCAACCTGCAAATTATAGCAGTAATTGAATTTCCCATGCCTTTTTTGCGTTCTTGGAGGATGGAAAACTCACTTTAATGTGACCCTGCCTATAAAGGAGTGCATTTGTACATTCATTTCCCGTGGAATTCAAGCTCACGATCAAGCAGGCTAAGATGCTCAACTACTGAAGTTTGGAGAAGCAGGGATTCAAGCAGTGCTTACTGGTTCGATCTTCAGTTGGCCACCAGCCCAGTGTACAATTCTGACATATATTTTTCGTATTGTTGACAATTTGATGAGGCAAGCAGTCCTCACAAATCCAACAGCATGCCGTTGTTTCTCTTTTCTAAAAAAATTTTTTAATTTTGGCTGAAAAAAGAATAAGTTTTTACCAAAACCGACCGCATAATCGATCTGACGATTTAATATTTGCAATGCTTTTGAGTGTGCGAGGACACGTCGGGCACAGCTGTGATAGGCTTTCCAATCTTAAATTATAATTTTCAAGAGGACTTATCACTAAATGTATCAAGTTTTTTTTACCCGTTGTCCCACATCACACGGTTTGCTGCAGACTGACTCCGGAATTCGATTCGTTTTGTCAAAGAACATAATATCGCTCTCCGTTATCTTTAATCGATATTTTCCTAAACGTTTTTTCCGGTATTCGCCAACCATTCGGAAACCTTCTTCACCGCCGACATAATTCAGCACGTCATACCTAAAAAAATTGTATGAATTTTTGCTGTTTTACAGTTCATTATTAGACGATAGATAAAACTACTGGCTTGAACCGATCAGTGAGAAAAACTTTTTCTTCTACAGTTTGTTAACTTGTTGAAAATAGCGCACACCAGTAAGTCAAGATTGTTTTTAACTTATAAGAGAAATCCATCGATATTCTTGCAAGTAGGTGGTTGTTGCTGTCAAAATGCTATCTCTCTTCAACGGAAAGTTAAATTCGAGAAGAGAAAAGGGGGATAAGATTTATTTTGAACTCGACAAACTGCCATACCACGCAGGTGGATCACCATTGGCGTCAAAATACATTTCCTGATTAAACTGATCCACAAAGGTGACATTCAGCATGTACTTGTACAGCAATGTACCATTCAGCGCGAACATCTCCGTGCACAACGTTGAATTCTCCGGACAACGATCATTGTAAAGTGCCTGAAGGGCCAGACCAACAACACGAATCGAATTCACCACTTGACTCAGTTTCGCGTCCGGAAAATTATCAGAGTAAAATGCAACAAAAATTATACAGGTGTGATTTACTTTTTTTGTTCCGGTAAAAATTTCTGCAAACGATCTCTTGTCACGTAAGCAGTAATGTATCCATTCACTTTTCATGACCAAGGAGGGTGAGATAAGTTCTAAAGGTGTAATATGACAAAAATTAAATGGAAATGGCTCGTGAAGTTTTTTTATATGTAAAGGTTGTTGTCTGAAAAATAATACTGAAACTCGAAGTTTATAAATATGTAGTGGAATTTGTTATGAAGGCTTTAAACGGTGATGGTAAAAAACCCAGGCCGGAACACACCAGGCGAGCCGGTGCGATCATTTGTTCTTGCATCAAACTTTGAGGTACTCCATCATATTTCCCTGCCCTTGCCTCACCCCCTCCACTCGCTAT